CGTCTGGACGAACAGATCTGGAAAAAAAACTCGATTTCATACCTTAAATTGGTGGGACCACTTTCTTTGACTATATTAACCCTAGAAAATGTAGAATCAAGCACTCAGGATCTCAAACGAAGGTAATCCACCCTGAATCTTTAATTTCTTTGAATATATGAACCCCAAAAAATGTAGAATCAAAATCTTGGGTTTTTTTAGCTCATTGTGGAGAGAAAGTGAGAGATATGTGTTGTAATGTGTTGTTTAATTCATGAGAATAGAGAAAGAAGAAGAGTAAATGGAATTTGGAGGCATTAAGAGCTTCAAATATTGGTTGTTCATGGTTGTTGGAGTATTGATGACAATGACAATCTTGTAATTACTTGAAGATGATGAGGGTGAGAGAGTAAATATGTTATTTTCGAAAAAAAAATAAAAAAACAAATTGATGGCATTTTCGTGAATTATATGAACTTGTGGGGTGAATTGGACAAAATAAAGTTCCAAAAAAAAAGGAGGTTAGTTTTGTGGTTGACTTCAAGTTTCAGGTCAATTATGCAAAAAGCCCTAGTAAGAAAATATCAAAATTGACTCGGTCTTTTTTTCTTTCATCAAACGCGTTGTCTCAGTGAACAAACTTAAAGAATGCCGTAAATTGAACATTAGTTAAAGAAACGTGGTATGAATTGAAAAATGTTTCCGAGTTAATTAGTGTACTGAACTAGCACTTACTTCGGCACTAGAGCTTTAAAGGTTGACACTTGACTTCTCTGCGTGTCTGCTAATTGATCTAATAAGATAAGTTCGTATAACTTGTAATCTATACAATTTAACCCTCTTAGGTTTGTAATTTTTTTTTCCAATTCTAACCAAATTGCCAATAATATACTGACTGTATGATTTTCATGACACAGTTTTTTTTTTATGTTTTACTTTTACTCTATTATAGAGGGATGTCATCGGAGCAAATATACCTTTGTAATATGGTTACTCTTTTTTGAAAGAAGTTATAGAGAAAAAATGGTATTGCATTGGAGATGTTTTTATATATTGTACTTCTCATTTTCTCTCTGCCCATAAAAAAAAAATTTCGTGTGACCACGTTATGTGTGAGTGCATTTAAAATTTAGACAATATTAACGATAAGTAATAATATTTTTTAAATATATTTAACCACATCAGGAAAGGTTAAATTCATTACTGTTTGTGGAAGCTCTATAATTACTCCAATGTTTAGTTAAAGAATTATTAATATATTTACAACAGAACATTTGAGTTTTTAATTTCAAATGAGATGTATTATGCAAATCAATAGAGAAAACACTCGAATGAAATTTTAGTATGGTGTAAAAAATACTATGAAACGTTGATTTCATAATGAAACAGTAAAAAAACGTTTATAAAATCTTATATAACATTTTAAAATTTTGTAATAACATAAATAACTAGTATTAAAAATCATCACTGCAGTACATTTGAGATAGTTGTAAAAAATAAGTTACTAACAATAGATTATGATAACAGAGTTTTGGCTTTTGGATAGGTGCAATCGGTATTGTTATAGATAAGAGGTTAATAAATCTACGTAACCACATATATCATATCAGTAATGGTTAACAATTTAACAAAAAAATATTAGTGTTACTTAGTGAGGATAGCCATGAAATATTACCAAAAAAGAAAGACACCATAAGTGACATAGGTAAGATGATGACTACACCTAGTGAAGTAATACAAGAAAATGTCTTTCTATCACATTGCTTTCTCTTACTTGCACATGTACTTAAATACAGATTATATAAACAAAAATGTGCATCGCAACTTTATGCTAATTCTGGCCAACCACAAGATATATGGTCTAATAATCAACACGTCCACACAACCAAAATATATGCCATCCCTATTAATCACTTTTATTTAATTGATCGATTTGAGAATTTTCTTTTCTCAGAAGTCTCTAGTAATGATTGTTACAAATGACACTAATCTTAAATCTTACTAATAATCTATTCTAACGCGTATTCTTTTGCGAAGCTTCTAACCTCTTTATTTATTCTGAAGAATAAATGCACTTGTAATATTTCCTGTTAAAATATCATTTGCAAGTAAGGTGTTCTTTAAATAATTGGGTACTACTATAAGATAAAAGTCGTTTTCAGACCTCAGATCCTCTACACAACAGGATTAAAAGCACTATTCGAACATTCTTCCACAATTAGTAGGAGAATGATTTTGTTTTTACATCCACAATTAATGGTTAAGAAAGCAGTAATTTCCATGATCAAAGTTTAAAGATTATCCGTAAACTTTAAAGTTGGAGAAATCTTTCAAAAAGTGATATTCATATATGGTTCATATCAAATAACGTAAACTAAGAATATATGTTTTGACAGATGATTAATCATGTTAGATATCCTGCACCATAGTGACGTTTCGGATTTTTTGGGATATATAGAAAAGACTTACCCGTCTTATGAACCAATGAGGTTATCCACTTTAAGTATGCTTGTCATTTTCGAACAGACAATGAAGGCTGCTAACTTAACTTTGAAATGCAACCATTGTTGTATCTTAACAAGTTAATTATGCACTCTGTACGGCTAACCTTAACTCACACTAGGTGATGTAAAAAAAAAAAAAAAAACTCTCACAGGTTATAATTATCGTCTTGCTTTCCATGTCGAGTACTACGTGCATGGCTTAGCTTAAAGCGAAACAAATTTATATTAAGGAAAACAAACAAACCATAATTAAAATGTAAAAAGTGAGGCTAAATAAATATGCATATTGAGCAACTGAGCCTCTAGCACGTGGCCATGTATAAATTTGATCATATATTTCTTCTGAACTTCAATCCCAGTTGGTGGGTGAACATCATAATCTGATTTATGAAAACAATTTTTTTGGAAATATTATGTGTATGTGGTTTCATGTAAGTTATGTGATTAGGCCAACTGTTGAGACATTAAACTAGTATGTGCCAAATTATACAGTTTATACTTGTGGGCATCATTAGTAAGAACATTTGCAAAGGAACCATTTATAACCAAACACATATTATATATACACACTTGCATATCTATTCTATTAAAATAGAGTCATTTTTTTTATCTACTGATACAAGTTGTCATTTAAATTTGGACTCATTCTAAAATGTTACAAATAATATAAGTCAAATAATTGATTGAACCGTATTACTTAAATTAAACTAACACAAATAATGTAAAGAGACAACCTTAATGTAAACTACCTTCAAAATATGGCATGTATTTATGTGTATACCAAAAACACATATTTTCTCTTACAAATATGGAATGTTCTAAAAGAATATATATCATCAAAATATGGAATATGGAAATCTACTAATTATATTTAAATTAAACCAATGGTTATTTATGAAATATAGTCTTGGGCTTACTTTTATTTTTTGAACAAATTATATAGTTTGGTTTTTGGGCTTAGTATTAAGAAAAAAACTCTATAAACATTGAATAAACTTTTCACCTTAAAAGATCAAAAAATCAATTATTATTTTCAGACCCAAAATGTATTTAATATTTTTAACAAAACAAAATTATCTATTATTAATCATTTATTTAAATCATGTATTTTAAAAAATGTTAATATTTTTTTTTATTTTAAATAACAATCACTTTGTTTTAATGAATTTCAGTGGTAACTTTTAAATAATTTATTGTTTTATTTTTCTTAAATAATTTACTGATTAAAAAAATATAAAGCAAAACCAAAAACCAAATCTAAAAACTAAAATCCAAAACCAAAAGCTGAAAACACATGTTATCTTTTTTTGCTTTGTTTATTTACAAAATAAACTATTTCAATTTTTTTTTTAAATTTGTTGTCATCTTTTCAGTTTTGGATTAGATGTTCGATTATTTGAGATTTGTTTGTTGGTAATATTAGTTCAAACTAACTCTGCGGGTTTAAAAATTAAAAATCCAAACCAAAAACTGAAAATGAAAAGTAGAAACTTAAAAACTAAAAACCAAAAACCAAAATCTAAAAATAAAAACTGAAACTAAAAACTAATGATAAATAATCATTAACACAAATTTAGGTGAACTAATTTTATATCAAAATATTCTTTAAACTACGACAAAACCTAATTATATAAATTTTTAATCATAAAAAATTTCCGCGCTTTCAAGCGCGGGTCAGAATCTAGTTATGCTTAAATTAGGAATGAAAGATGCAAATATATATCTATATGATGAAAAGAGAAGTGAAATAGAGAAAGCTGCAACAATATTGCTTTCAAAATGTTTCCGCAACTAAAATTAAAAGCTTACATAGAATAACGAATTTTTATATATTTTTAGTAGATTTGCAATTGAATCAAAAATTTTGTTTATATTAGTGGATAAATTATATGTAAAATCATGATTATATATTTAATCACGCACTTGTAGAGATTTATTTTGTAAAATATATAAGATTCATATATCTATTCTATTAAAACACAATCATGATCTATTAATAAATATTTGGTCCAACTATTTATTATTCTTGTATTATTTTTTATATTAATAACATTAAATTAAATATTTTATATTATTTATAAATGATTAAATATAAATATGTGTCCGCAAAAAACATAAATATAAAAATTAAAATTTTCAAAAACATTTAAAATATCATCATCTCCAAATTGAAATAATTTAACGAAGACACCGTATTATGGCCCCACATCTTCACATTAACATCAATTTAACGACACCGTATTAATGCAACGAATAAGCGGCACGTTGTTCAGAATATAAAAACGGCATGTAGTCTAGATCATCATCATCTTTTGTAAATCCTCCCTTATCTAACCCGACGATAAAACAACACATGAAGAAGAGTCCATAGAAGAGATAAAGAGTGAGTGAGACTCTTCGATACAATGGCGTCTCTGGCTCAACAATTCACGGGGTTGAGATGCTCCCCACTCTCTTCCTCCTCCTCTAGGCTATCGAGGAAACCGTCCAAAACCTTTCCGCAGAACAAATCCGCCTCCGTTTCTCCAACGATCGTCGCCGCGGTGGCGATGTCTAGCGGGCAGACAAGAGAGCGTCTGGAGCTGAAGAAGATGTTCGAGGACGCTTACGAGCGGTGCAGAACTGCTCCAATGGAAGGTGTGGCCTTCACTGTCGACGATTTCGCAGCTGCTATTGAACAGTACGACTTCAATTCCGAGATTGGGACTAGGGTTTGTGTCTCATCTTTTTTTGTGCTTTTCGTTCATTAGAGTTTCGAACTTTGAGCTGTAATAATAGCTGCTTGAGTTTGTAATGTTGGTTCTGTAGTAGAAGGTTTGGGCATTTCGGGTATTGGTTCGGTTTATTCTGGTTTTGTTTTTTTTTGTTCTGGAAATATAGGATGCATTTGGTATTTAGGAAATTTGGTTCGGTTTTGGTCTACTATTTTGGTTTTTATTTGGTTTAGAACTTTAGATAACAAAGTCGGCTAATATCTGAGAGGGTGTTATTGGTTTATGTATTTTAATGGATTTCAAAATGTAAATCAAATTCAGTGTTATTGGTTTTAGGATTTTAGAATACAAATTCAAATACACTGTTATTGATTTTATGATTTTAAAATAAATTTTAAAATTAAGTGTTATTCAATAGCAAGTATTTGATTAAGGATTTGATTTAGAATTGGATTTGAGTGGATTTTAAAATGTTATTAAGGTGAAAATACAAAGGAACAAATACCAACTTGAACCTTGTTATTTTGATTGGGTTTGTATTATTGTTTTTTTCTTTTTTACGTTGTGCTCCTTCAATATATCATGACACCATCACATGGATGGTGGGATCCTCCTCTCACAGTGCTGTCATACTTTGTGATCTCTCGGATGTATGCAGAGATACTTGTTTTTTTCAATGTCCGTTTTCTTAGAACTGCTAAACTGTATGTGCGCCAAAAGCTGGGTTTCAAGTGATTCCAAGGGTCTGGGATCAGGCTGTGCAGTGGTTAATCTCTCTGCCGTGAAAGGGTCTTGCAATTGTTGCTATTATCCAGGTTTGGACATAGGTCATCTACAAGGTATGGAAAGAACATAATAGACGTCTACATGATGGGAGGACTTGTCCTGAAACAGTAGCGACTCCGACTATCATCAGCTTAGTTAAGGACAAGGCTACTGCTCTGGCTAACAAAGGATATTATCTTGAAGATGATCTTCAACTCTTTTGGTCTTAGATTATGTAACTTGGTTATGTGCAACAATGCTTTTGTGTTGTTTGTTTGTTTGTTTGTTTCACTCAGCTTTGTAATTCCTCCTAAACGGCTCCCCCCACCCTTCTCCTGTCTCTTATTTCTATGTTGCAATTTTATTTTCTATGGAAGCTTCTTATTAAAAAAACTTACGTTTTACAAGTTTCAGGTATTGATGCAGTTCAATTATCTCATACATATTATCTATTTGGTCAACATCTCTACCAAATGTTAATTATATTTGGCCAATATCTCATACCTATAGTACTTTAGGAAGATACTGAGAAAACCCAGCCAGTTCAAGGTGCTAACTTGCTAATGGCTTTGGACTTTCTGAACATTTTCTCCAAACCTATGCATGTTCCCTTCTAAACTCGTAATGGATAGTTAAAAATCCATTTGAGTGATTTATAATTCATAATATTTTGATTCTGAAATTCATATTAGTAATTCTCAAATCCACTTATTTGGTTTGAAAATCATTGGATTTATCAAAGTTTCTAAAATCCAATGAGGATTTATAAATCCATTAAATTACTAGAACCAATAACCCCCACTGAGATAATTTTGGATACTATTAGGTTCTGAAAATCGAGATGGAAATAAAGAAAATTCGTTTTTCGGGTTTAAAAATCATAAAATTCAGATTTTTCGGATTAAATATCATTTTATTTAGGTTATTGTTAGGGTCTCCGCTAAAAATTTGGATAATTTTAAATATTTCAGCTAAACAGATTAAGGTAATTTGCATGTTTTGAATAATTTTGTTTGTAAATAGTACTTTTAAAATATTTAATTATTTTAAAACTAAATATAATTAATATTTATAAATATATAAACTATATTATAGAAATTTGGGTATCCAAACCGAACTGAACCTCATTTTTCGGTTTGACTCTTTTTTTCGGATAAATGTGCTATGCCTATGTAGAAGTATAATATCATTTTGTGGTTTTGACATTGTTTCAGGTCAAAGGAACGGTGTTCAAGACTGACGCAAATGGCGCATTAGTTGACATTTCTGCAAAGTCTTCTGCTTACTTGTCAGTAGAACAGGCTTGCATTCACAGAATCAAGCATGTGGAAGAAGCTGGTATAGTTCCTGGTATGGTTGAAGAGTTTGTCATCATAGGTGAAAACGAAAATGACGATAGTTTACTACTGAGCTTAAGGATGATCCAATACGAGCTTGCTTGGGAACGGTGCAGGCAGCTTCAAGCTGAGGATGTCATTGTTAAGGCTAAGGTACTAGTCTTTTGCTACTCTTTTGGTTTCTCTCTCTGGTTCACAATGTCAGGGATTGGATTGTATGTGTAGGTTATTGGTGCTAACAAGGGTGGATTGGTGGCTCTAGTGGAGGGTCTTCGTGGATTTGTACCATTCTCGCAAATATCATCGGTTAGTACTTGTCTCTGAGCTTTTACGAGTATAAGGATACTCAACAAGCAGGTTTTTGAACAATGTGTGTTTCTTTTTTACTTTCTTTTGTTAGAAAGCAGCAGCTGAAGAGCTGCTTGATAAAGAAATACCTCTAAAGTTTGTGGAGGTTGATGAGGAACAAACAAAGCTTGTTTTAAGCAACCGTAAAGCGGTAGCAGACAGCCAGGCTCAGCTTGGAATTGGATCTGTGGTTCTCGGAGTTGTTCAGAGCTTGAAACCTTATGGTGCCTTCATTGATATTGGAGGAATCAATGGGCTTCTCCACGTCAGTCAGATCAGCCATGACCGTGTCTCAGATATCGCAACTGTTCTTCAGCCCGGTGACACTCTGAAGGTCTGTTCCACGGATGTTCGTTTAAACCTTTTGATTCAGATGTTTATCTAAGGTGTAATGTTTTAACAGGTTATGATACTGAGCCACGACCGTGACAGAGGAAGAGTAAGTCTCTCCACCAAGAAGCTGGAGCCAACACCTGGTGATATGATTCGCAACCCAAAGCTTGTTTTCGAGAAGGTAACACTCTATTTCCACTGAAATACTCTCAGTTCTTATATGGTTTCTTAATTATGTTTCTTACTTTTTCTCTCTTGTCTGAAGGCTGAGGAGATGGCTCAGACGTTTAGACAGAGAATCGCCCAAGCAGAAGCAATGGCTCGTGCAGACATGCTTCGCTTCCAACCTGAGGTACTTATGTTTTAGGTCCTAACCACCATTGATTCTTTTCAAGAACTATGTTGTTGGGATTTTGTTTGTTCACCAGAGAAGGTTTGGTTTTGATTAAGGATGATAGTAAGTTAATGTTGGTGTGTATGTTTTGAGCAGAGTGGACTGACGCTGAGCTCTGAAGGGATACTAGGACCACTCGGGTCTGACTTGCCAGATGATGGTGTAGATCTCACCGTCGACGACATTCCTCCCGCCGTTGATCTTTAGATTTCAAAAGCTTTATTTTAACGTTTTTATAGACAAAGAACACATCCTTGAGCTTAATGTAACATGTAACAACTCATGTGTGTATTTTTAAAATCCATATCTTTTTTGCAATGTCCAGAAAGTTCATCAGAACGCATCACAAACGTATCACAGAAACATGTCCTTCACTATATAGCAACAACAAAAATTACATTGCTAATCACACTACTAAACTGTATTTTTAATTGTGTATTGTTCTGTTTCCGTTTTTTACACTTACAGTTTCGCAACTAACTCAAGTTTATCTAGGAGTTTGCACAAATTAAAAAATTAACTAACTCAAGACGGTATTGTGGAGAGAACCCTAGATTTGTGGAGAGAACCCTAGATTTGTGGTCACTAGGTTGTGTAGTGTTGGAGATGTATACAGATAAGCAACTATGGTCAAAACTTGAATCTGTTTACATTGGTCCTAATCTGCTGGACAATGCTGCACCAGAGATTCCAGATACTGTACCTTGTGACGCAAGGAAGTTTCTGGAAACGTGTTTCGCAAGGATACCTAAGGAAAGAGGAAGTGCTTCAGAGTTGTTGTTACATCCTTTCTTGACCGGAGGAAGACAAAACTAGATCAAAGAGAAATTTATCTTGTTATACAATCTCGAATCTTGGTTATTTGATATTGTATTCCTACAAGTTAGGTCTATCCTCGTTTTATATCAAATGATTTTCACCTGAAACACATGTTTATGAAACAATAAAATCATGTTTGTAATTAGTAAAACATCACTTAGAAACTACTACAAGGTTCTGTAAAACATGAACACTTTTACAGCAGAAGAAGATTCAGACATCATCGTGTTTTCTCTTGGACTGAAGAGCTAAACGAGCGTCTCTCTCTTTCTCAAACTGTTTGTAATCAGCTCTCTCCAAGAAAGAAAGTTTGTCTAGATACTGATCCGAGCTCTTCTTGTACTTATCTAGCTCGTCTTCAACACCTTTGTTCTCTTCCTTGTACTCTCCCCAATCTTTCTTGGTCTTGTCCAAAACGCTCAGCTTCTGTTTCTTTTTAATCTGCTCAAGAACCGCATCAACCGCTGATGGCGTCGCCGCCGCAGAGGAAGAAGAAGAGGCTTTATCTCCCCTATCTAATGCTTCCCTTGAACCCGCTTCCACTAACCTCTTTACTTCGATTTCTTGACCCGCAAAGTCTTTCACCTCTGTTATCTGCAAAGCACAGTCATATAAACTTAAAGACAGAGACTTTACTAATATACAACCCATCCTCTTAGTTCAAAACAGCTGAAGATTCTAACGTTACTAGGGCAAAGCACAGTCAATTTTAACTTAAAGACAGAGACATTAATCATACACAATCTATCCTCTTAGGTCAAAACAGCTAAGAGATGTTAGATTTTAACGTTCCCTAGTCAAAGCACAATCATTTAAACTTAAAGACAGAGACTTTAAGCATACACAACCATCCTCTTAGTTCAAACAGCTGAGAGATCTTAGATTCCAACGTTTCCGAGTTAAAGACAGAGACTTTAAGCATACACAATCCATCTTTTTGGTTCAAAATCAGCTGAGAGATCTTAGATACTAACGTTACCGAGACAAAGCACAGTCCTTTTAACTTAAAGACATCCAAGGAATCTCTTTCTTGGCATTTGTATTTGAGAGAGAGCTATGCTTAGGGTCAGTTCCTTCAGTAAAGGTGACTAAAAGACCAGAAACAGGGACTACCCGAGCTAATGATAGAGGCAAGAACACTTTCCGGCGACTTTAATAATACACAACCCATTCCTCTTAGTTCAAAATAGCTTAGAGATGTTAGACTCGAACTACACCAAGTCAAACACACACACAAAAGGTTAAGCCTTTTCCTCACCTCAATTTTGCCACGGCTCGATGCAGCTGCAGCGGTTGCAGTAGCGTTTCTAACAGCAGCTAGAGCGGCTGCAGCAATGCTCTTAGCCTCCTCGCTACAGCTATTATCCAAAACGCTATCTTCCTTTTGTACAACTGTGTAATCATTCTTCTTATTCTTCTTATCCACACCAAGATAACCTCTCCAGTTCTTATTAATAGATAACAACAACAGTATAAACAATGAGAGAACAAAAAACCAAACAAAACAAAAAAGAACCAAAACTCACGTTATTATTATTATTAGCTGTTTTTTGAGCGGTTGAACTCTTTGAGAAGAAGTTGACCCGCCTTTTGGGGACTCCTTCGTTCATTTTCTCCCACATCTCCGCGACTTTCTTAGACACACTGCTCGAACTTTGTTTCTCGGGTTGCTCACTAGCCTCCATTCCTGGATTCATGACGCTGATGGAATGTGAGTGTTCGAGTACGTTATGTGGTAGGTGGAAAGAGTAAAAGGAGCTTCAATGGTGGGTGAATACGTTTGTGACTGTAGGTGGCGGCGGAGAAGAAAGCTTCTCCCTCCCCGTCTTTTCTTTTGTTTTTTCGCTATTGGGCTTTTGGGCCTTTGTTAAAACACCAAATATTAAAGCCCATCTACTCTATTAAAAGAGAAGTACCATTTACATCTACTACAAAAAAGTCATGTTGGACCATTTCATTAATATGATATATTTGATTATTTATACTAATCAATCAAATATATATAATTGGAGGAATATTTTAATAATTAATAAGATATTAGTAATAAATTTGTTGAGAAAATATCTAACAAGATCTTACTTAGAAGTTTAAATATTTTTTATAAAATATGCATTATTTAATTTCGTGATTAATATATGTAAATATCTATATTACTGTTAATTAAAATAAAAATTGTTATGTTTTATAATTTAGTTATATTCTATATTATATTAAAATAAAATGCTATGTGAAATGAATATAAAATATATTAAATTGGTAAAAGGAAAATATTTTGTTTTAAAAATTTTCTTTTATTCAAATAAATAAATAAATATCACTTCCTTTTAAAACATATTAAAGTTTTTAAATCATAGAACATTTTTTTTACAAAAAATATTAACATATATTTTTGTAACTCACAACAAATACATTATACAATAAATTATATATAAATATTTTTTTTATTTTAAAACTTACAACAATATATTATATAAAAATAATTAAAATTATACAATTATACAATATATAACAATAGAATATAAATCATATATATTTGAAAAAATTTGTTATATTTTTATAAAATGAAAAAATACCCACACGGATGTGCGGGTTCAAAATCTAGTATTTGTTAAAACACCAAATATTAAAGCCCATATTTGTAAATATTTTGTTTTCCATATTATATATATTTTTTAACCCATATTAATTGTATTCGTTATTTGCATTTTTTTTTTGTTTTGTTCTAAGATCCTTCAATTTTAAAAATTAATTTGTTAATATGAAATTATAAATTACAAAAATTATTATATCATATTTATATAAAAATTTGCATATTGCATTTTTATCTACATCATGCTAAACTATTTTATAAAAATCTCTCTATATAAATGAAACAATACCAATCACATGTGTATAAATCTTTACTAAGTGAAGTTTTCTGCTGTAAAAATTATTAATAAGTTCATTATTTTTTAATTATTCAAGGCTATCATTGCTCCACAAAAGTGGTCAAGACTAATCACGTGTTGTTACTACGTGTTGGTCATTTATCATTAACTATGTCGAAATGTTAATTCTCCTGTGAGGATTCGAATTCTAGTGATTTTGTTTTTGTTAAATCTATTAATAAGCTCTTAACCAAACTAATAAATAAAAACCTCTACAAGCACCATGAGATTTACTGAGAACAATATTTTTTTGTGTCGAAACATAGTCACTGTCTCGTATATCTCCCTCTCCACACTCTCCAAGTTTCATGCTATTGGCAATGTTCGATACAACTTTAACTAAATTATCCCATTGAGAAACACTGTGACATATTGAGCGCGTACATCTTGATATACTTCAAACAACGCACTTGTCAAAGTACAACATAAACTAAAAAAAAAAATCATCAAAAAGCTTAGGTAGCAAAAACGCTACGATCTGATTCGTGTTTTTCGGTGAAAGAGACTAAACAAAGGTTTACTCACGACATTAACTGCCCAAAAGTTTGAGAAACAGGTAAGCATATTAATTCAATTCAATCAGCCTTTTTAGGAGCGGCTCTCATCTTAGCGCAGTAGTCGAACAAGCTCCCATCGAAACATTTCCTAACAGCTTCTTTGGATAAGTGACCATTCTCGTCTTTAGCCAGCAAGTACAGTACTCCCCACTCCATTTTACTCGCCGCCCTGTTTACATTTTCACACACCATTATAAGACATTAGAGATAAGAGTGTGTGTGAGAGAGAGATAGGAGTGGGACATACCAGCCAAAGAAATCAAATGCATCCCGGTTAGCCTCAGTCATTTGCCACAGCTCGTAACGTGTTAGCTTATCAGGCACGGTACGTGCGTACTTACTAAACATGTTCTCTAGATTTGCTGGGATGTACCTGAAAGTTTCAAAATTTAGTAGCACAACAAGTCTAACTAACTATCATGTGGACACAATGGATTAAGTATTGATAGACGAACCGTCCTTCTGTGTCGTAAGTAGAGGTGTCGCTTCCATGTTTGGCTCTGTGGATGTTCTTGATGTAGATCGGGAATGCAAACGAAGGCATCCAAGTCTGTAGTAGTCCATAATGAAAAGAAGACATGTTGATGAACCAATATATATATATTTAATAAAGACACACACCATTTTATGTTCGATGAAAAACTTACAGGCGATGTGGCGTAACTCATGGTAAGATGCACGATGAACGTTAGAAAGCAACTAAAGATCACGTTGAATCCAAGTGCTCTAAATCCTAATCATCATCATCAGCGTATAAAAGCAATAATTTTAAATGATAATCTTTATTAACAAAACTGTTAAGATGACTTTTAAAGATACCTCTGAATGTTTCCGATGGGTAGATGATACCATCACCGTCCTGATCAAAGAAAGCAACGTGTTGTTGAAGAACAGACATGTCATTGTGCTTGTGTCCCCTTGTCCCGTTAACGTTTTCCATGTCAGGCGCCACCATTGCTCGTGGCACATCTGTTTTTCAAAACACCAAACAACTAGTGTACGTTGAGAATCTTACACAAGAGGGAAGAAAACATATGGAACAAATAATAAAGAAAATGTAAATGGAAAAAAAGAAAATGTAAATACGAACATGGTTTGGGGAGACGATCGTCGAGATCAGTTCGGACCTTCCTCTCGGCTGTTATCGGAGCTTTGGAAGCTACCGTAGCCATCGACTCTGATCCTGCATCTGACGCCATTGCTCTCTTTCTCTTTCTCTCTCGTTGTGTGGGGGAGGCTTTTTTATACACACACAAAAAAAAAGGAGATCTGAGAAGAGAGTGCAACTGATTCCAAATAACTCGCGGGAGTTGCTTCGTCTTGACCAATCAACTCTTGTGTTGACACGTGGTTTTCTTTCCACGTGTTTTATGACTAAGCCATTTTTTTGCTTTATTTTAAATAAAAATTATTTTTGTATATGGTCTACATTCACTTTGGGCCATATTGGGCTACGTAAATTATGATAGGATCCACACTGCTGCACGTAAAAAAAAATTATTTTTTTATTTTTTTGGTAAAAAAAAAATTGTTTGATCACTAATAATTGTTAGTTTCTCTTGCAATTTTATTTTTTCTGTTGCAAATTTTGATGACTAAAAGTGGTGACGCCAAGAATACCGAGCTGAAATGATCATGATGTATGATGTGATGATATTATTAGATCATACCTTTGCCCAAACTTTCTGGTCATAAAGATTATGGTATATAATAGATTACTTCTTGAAGCTTACAGAAACCTACCGTATTAGTAATTGTGTAACACCGTTCGCATGATTGAATTTGTGCATACCAATAAAAATAAAACACATATATATCATGCAATTATCATTATTATCCCGTGTTTTATATACTAAACTTTTAATTCAAGTCACATCTACTTTTTCAAGCACACCATATGAATTAATTGCTTCACCAGAAATCAAAGTATAATCAAAACGAAAGTAATCAAATTGTAAACAGTGTAATGATATACTTCTGATATGATTTAAATAACATTACCACAGACACAACCTTGCTCACATCAAACTCTCTCACATGTTGTGCACTTTGGGTTAGCTTTTCAATGTGTTTATGATTCTCTCTGCCCTCATTTTCAGACCAGCTGGTAAAAAAAGCCATTTTGTTCTTTCTTCTTTTGTAATCCAAGTGTCGTTTTTTCATCTTTAGTATCGACATTTCATACTTTCATAATCTTCTTTTTTTTAAAATTATAAGAAACTAGATTTTCTATAACTCAAATTTGTATTTTGAAAAATGAATTCAGATACGAAATCAACAGTTATGCCCTCTTCTCTCCTTTAATATCTCTCCATAAATAGTGCAACGAACCGTTTCATGAGTTTTTACTTTCATATTTTCTTCTTCTGCACCCTTAAATCAATTTGCGTTTTATTTAGCTCAGTGTTTAGGTAGAAAAGTGACTGAGAAATTCAGAAACGTTCATCAGATTCTGAAGCTGTCTTTTCTAAGAATGCTTAATCTATTATTTATTACTATCTATTTTGCAGGAAAATAGAAAATGGACCACTTGATGAAGGAGGAAACAAGAATAGTTTGATGGAAGTATCTTAATCTATCTTTTTTCTCCACAAATATACATTTTTATCTTAGAAAAGCAACAAAAAGTTGGAGAAAATATCATGTGATTTGTGGTTGATAGTTGGTAAGTGTTGGCTTGTTGCTATAAAAGAAAGTGATAGTTTCCTGTAAAAATTTATAGGTAAGAAGAAAGTAGGTTTCTCTCAGGGAAAAGATTTTCAGTTACAAAGAGAAGTAAAAGACAAGAACAAGTGGAGTTTGGTTTGGTTTCTTAGTTGGGGAAAAAAAATCAATGGAATCAAAAGGTAGTAGTAGTAGTAGTAGTAGTATAAGCATGAAGTCATTAGAGAGAGTGGTTTCAGATAAAGCATTCAAGCTTGGAAACTCATTTCCATGTCAAATCTGTGTGGTTGGGTTTCTCTGTGGAATCTGTCTCACTTCTCTCTTCTTAGCTGCTCTCACTTCCATTGGCACCTTCGAGCTCGCCGCCTTCTCCTTCTCCTCTCTTTCTCCTCCTTGTAATTCCACTTCTCAAATCATCAGTAAGTTTCAAGAAGTTTTGGTAACTACTTATGTGTGTGTATTTGTTTTCATGTAATGATAGATTGTTGTTATATGCAGATGCACACGTGGACAGGAAATTGAAATGGAAGAACAAAGCTGAGTTAGAAGAAGAAAATGATGATGATCAGGTCAAACTTTTGGTCTCTGCTTGGGACAACTTATTACTAAACAATGAAGACTACTTCAAGAAACAAGGGATGAACAAATCTGATGTCCCAAACGCTCCACATTTGGAGAACTGTGAAGAGAGGTCACGAGCTAGAGAGCACTTGGATACACGAATATCAAACCATACATTTCCTTCTTGGGTATGCTCTTTGTCATCATCAAGAAAGCTATTATGATGAATGAGTGATCACAATTCACACAAAATAACTTGTTACAGATTAGTGGAGGAGATGAAGATAACTATCCATTAACAAGGAGAGTGCAAAGAGAGATATGGTATCATCAGCATCCTTTAAACTGTGAAGACAAGAGTCTCAAGTTCCTTGTAGCTGACTGGGAAACGCTTCCTGGTTTCGGTATTGGAGCTCAGATCGCTGGAATGACTGGTCTTCTCGCAATAGCTATAAACGAAAACAGAGTTCTTGTTTCAAATTACTATAACCGAGCTGATCATGATGGTTGCAAAGGTATGTGCTCAAAGATATCAACACCCAAGGCTACAGCTTCTTGATTAATCTTATGTTTGGTTGGCAGGTTCTTCTAGAGGAAGCTGGTCTTGCTATTTCCTACCGGAGACATCAAAAGAGTGTAGGAAACGTGCGTTGGAAGTAATGAAGAAGAGAGAAGCGTGGGAGAGTGGGATTGTTACAGGGAAACAAAACTACAGCACCAAGGAGATTTGGTCTGGACATATACCAACGATATGGGGTAAGCCTTGGAGTTACATGAAGCCAACTACAGAGATCAACGGAACGTTGATCTCAAGTCACAGGAAAATGGACAGGAGATGGTGGAGAGCACAGGCTGTGAGATACTTGATGAGGTTTCAAACGGAATACACTTGCGGTTTAATGAACGTTGCTAGACATTCTGCGTTTGGAAGAGAAGCTGCTGAGATTGTTCTCTCCGCAGGAGGTTGGAGAAACAAGAAAGAGATTAGGTCGGAGATGGAGGAAGACGTGTGGTTCAATCACAAGCCATGGATTCCAAGGCCAATGCTGAGCGTGCATGTGCGTATGGGAGACAAAGCTTGTGAGATGAGAGTTGCAGCTTTAGAAGAGTACATGCGTTTAGCTGATAGGATCAGAGAACGGTTTCCGGAGCTTAACAGGATCTGGCTCTCTACAGAGATGAAGGAAGTTGTGGAGAGAAGTAAAGAGTATGGTCAGTGGAGATTCTATTACACGGAAGTGGCGAGACAAGTTGGTAATAACTCGATGGCTGAGTATGAAGCTAGCCTCGGCAGAGAGATGAGCACGAACTATCCTCTTGTTAACTTCTTGATGGCATCAGAAGCTGACTTCTTCGTCGGAGCTTTAGGCTCTACTTGGTGCTTCCTCATCGATGGTATGAGGAATACCGGTGGTAAAGTCATGTCCGGTTATCTCAGTGTCAATAAAGACCGGTTCTGGTAGCTTTGTACAGAACTCTTCCATTTCTTGTTTCTTCACCTGTTGTACAAATTGTTTTCCTGGTTTGGCTTATAAAAAGAAACTTAACAGATTAACTGAACAGAGCAAAATGGTTGTTTCTTATAGCAAACGTGTTAAGAATTTCACAAATAAGATAACATTCTACAAACAATAACACAATCAAACATTCTCTCATCTAAGTGACACCTTGTTCTTCAGGGTGGCAAATATTATTCCGGTTCTTGATTGGAACGGGAACTCGAGGAACCAGGTTTTGAAGCATTCTGTTTCCTGTTCTTCCTGATTCTGGCTTTCTTGGCTTTCAATCTGCGTTTCTTCTCAGCTGAGTCGACCCATTTGTAATCAGACGGTATGAGGAAAGGGTCAACTTCACTATCCTTGTACCTGTTACTGTCGCCCTCACTTGATTGGCCACCACCACGAGCACCTTTCATCCACGACACCCATGATGCTGAAGATGAACTATCTGATGATGACTTTGCATCATGAAAAACAGGACTAGTAGGAGGCGTTGAGAATTCCTCAGATGGTTGGAGCTCTTCAAATTTAGTAAAAGTGATGAGAACACGCACGGTTGGAATAATAGGGATCGCAATCTGCAACAATGAGCAGACGAGAGTCCATAAGATTTGCCTGAAAGGGAAAGTCACAACAGGGCAAAAAAAATATTATTACCTTGACAGGGAATGTTCCTGTGGGGAGTTTTGTGGTAAGGAGCTCTCTGAGTCTCCTCACTGCTTTGACCTTATTGGCTAATATATCTAGCAGAGGAAGAAGCTCTTCTGTTTTAAGAGGGAAATCAGGTGTTAACCACAGTACAGGTCTTAACCCTTTCTTGTACTCGCTTTCATTCTTTTTCTTCTTGGCACCGCCTTTGTCTTTTCCTTTCTTGCCATCTCCAGCATCCTCTTTAGTATTATTATCAGATAATGTTGACGATCTCTGGCTTTTCCCTTTCTCTTTCTCCTCTGGTGCCAACTTGGAGCCTTTCTTAACCTTTGTCGTTGTTGTTGTTTCTTCAGCACCATCATGACCAGGTTTTGCGCCTTTCTTATTCCAACCAAACCAGCCTTTCTTCTCCTTGAGAGAACCACCACCACCACCACCATTGGCTTCTCCTCCTGAACCATTTTCCTGGTGTTCCTCAACGTCATTCTCTTCCTCTTCAGCAGCATCAGAGTTCCCCATCCGCAACGCAGAATCCAATTGCTTCCTTTCCTCAGCGGTCAACACATCCTCAAAGCCATCATTCTCACCACCATTACCCACTCTCTCCTCATCAACAGCAAAAAGCTCCTCATCAGTCATAGCACCCGGAACTCTTCTTGACTTAACACTCACCATCACATGCATCATGTCATAAACTTTAGCTTTCCAGCTCCCAACACTCTCCGTCCTCTCTTGCCGTCTCCAATTCGACTGAGAAACCAACTCAGCCTGAGTAACATCAATCCCAGGCCTATACATATTAGTCTGAGACATATGCGCCACTTCATGAGCAACTTCCGCTTCCGTAGGCTGTGTCCCCGCCCCTTCCAAAGCATTCGTCACTTCCTTCTCCTTATGAGAAAGAACAATCAACGAACCAGGAGGTAAAGCCACCTTCCCATCATCAGAAACATAACCTTCTCCCAAAAAAAGAAAAGTCTGATCCGACCGTTGGATACGGAAACCATCAAACCCTGCTAAAGTCATATCAGCACGAAGATTCGAACCACGCTTCCAAATCCTATAAGTATCCGAAGGAGCAATACGGCTAATAAAAGGAATCACAGAACTCTCGAAATGAAACGTAATCTCCATGTAAAAATCACGTATCCTAGACGCAGAAGCAGTTATCCTCGGAAGCCTACGACACCACTTAGCCCAAGCGAGAGGCTGGTAATGCCTCGCAATGATCATAGCTATCCCTTCCTCTCTAGTGCAAACAGCTTCTTGCAACGCACTCCACCCATTCTCGTTCTGCAAGCTCCAATCCGCACCAGCAGACATTAGAATCTCGGCAGAGACGGGGTCTCGCATGCGTACAGCGAGATGGAGAGGTGTTTCACGGCCAGGGACGTCTCGTCTGTCAATGACGGCAGTGACTGCGTCGGCGCGTGACTCGGCTTCTAAAGACTCTGCTTCGTTGGTGACTTCACCGGCCTTGGCTAAGGTGGGGAGGGTCATAACGATTCTTCTGAGAGCTGCGTGGTCATGAAGGATAACAGCTAGATGGGCAGGGCTGTGTGTGTACTTTGAGTAATCCTCCATAGGGGATATCAGTTTCTTTTTTGTCTAAAAGGAGGTTATGTCTCTTTCAAGCTTGAGTTTCTTCCATAAGAAACCAATTAGGGTAAGGTTTTAGTACAGTTTGGTCTCACCTATCTTCCTTCCTTGAAAGTAATGTACAAACCTAATAAAGATTTGACCTTTAACAAGAGGGAATACAGACAAAACCTCCTTTTATCTTTCTTCTTCAATAACCACAGATTCCTTTATGAGCTCTAATAACAAAGAAATGAATCAATCAAAATGTAATTGCAAGATCAAAAAATAAAAAAAAAAGTTTTGATTTTTCTATATTCTAATTCATTAGTTTCGTCGTAACAGAGGAAAAGTGACGAGAAGAGAACCTGAGGAGGAAGAAGACGAATATGAGGAAGAGAAATGCTCAACGACGGTTTGATCTAGCGGCTACGAACTTAGTTCGGCCATTAATGCCTTTTTTTTTTTTGCTCAGATCTCTCTCTCTCTCTCTGCAATTTGCAAAAAAAAAATTGGTTGCAACCATTTGGGGGAGAGAGGAGTAGTGATTGCCATTGAATTTGGTGTTTATTTACTACTTTGACATTTGATTTCGCCTTTTTAAATAATGTCTCTCGTATGCTTTTTACATTTCCAGGTTGGCTAGTTCAGCTTTCATCTCTTTTTAACACCCAAAGCCCCAAAACTTTTTTTTTTTATAAAACAGATCGACATTGTTGATTTAATTTTCAATGTCCGATCGAGAGAGGTGGTACGGTTTTGGACCCGCTAAACTGCAGAGTTAGGACAAAGATTCTGTGGTTTCTTTTGTCTTGGTGAATGAAAATCAGTGTGTTATTGGTGGGGTTACAATTACAAAGACTCTTATTGGTGCCATGTGACCTTGTGTATAAAAACAACCACTACATCAAAACTTAAATTCATTGGATTCCTCTAAGAAAAACAGAGCTATTAAAAGGAAGCAAAGGAACAATGGCAATGTTTTAACAGTTCTCAAACAAGTGTAAGTGATGGAGTAACACATGTACAAAGGAGTGCAGACAAACCTAGTGTTAATGCAAATACAAGCACCATGAGCTAGACGCTTGTTTTATTAAGTAGAGTTCTGTATAATGCCAATTTTCTTTCTCTGGACTCTAAACGCAAATCTATTTGATCATCTCTCTCTCTACCAACCCCGCAAGAGCATGAATATTCTTTCAAGTAGCATTTTCCCTAACCAAAACCTCTGATTAAAACCTGATGGTATAAACGAAACTATCTACTTCCTTGGATGCCTCCCAAAGAAAGAAAAAAAGAAACACCAACCAATTGATAAAAGTCACATTAACAATTCTGAACAACAGAAGATCCTTAGCTACAATAGTACAGATATAGAGATTGAACCACAAGTACAGAAAATACAAATCACAGGATTGAACAAGTGTCTAGTGTGTAACATGCAATCAGACATTGCTCGCTGATTATTTAAATTAAATAAATGAAACTCGTGCATAACAATATAGCTATAAACTGAAAGGAAAACTCAGAAACTTCCCAGTTTCAAACCTGAATTCACAATTTGTAAACCCTGAGGGATGATGATACCTCCCCAAAGATGACCAAACAACGAATGTTGAAGCAGATTAGAGGATATACTCGTCTTTCTCTTTCGTTACTTCACAAAGCTCCCAAGATTTTTTTTTAATATATTTCCTCTGTTCACTAACACCCTGCATGATTTATCAATACGATGAAATAAATAAAAGCAATTCCACAAACCGGAGATTTTCTTTTTAACTTTCAGGTTTTTTTTTTCATTTCCCTTTTCTTATACACCCACTGATTTTTAATATATGTTGCTTCTACCCCATTAGATGAACATTGCTCGGATCATCATAAAGGGTTTATAAGGAGAAGAGCGAGTCCGAAGAAAGGTTACCTAGATGAACTTAAAAGGGAGCCTCCAATGACTCATCCCAAACCTCAGCACTTCCATTGGATGCATCTTCAACATCTTCTTCCATCGAAAGCCTTATGTACTCTCTATGTGCAAAACGGTCCCACTCTGTCAATGTAGGGTTCTCACGCTCCTGTTTCCATTTGACAATTTTGAAACGTTATACAAGAGCCCCCGCCTCAATGTTAACATATTAGAACAATAGAATACCTGACGAATGAGGAATGGATCCCGTGTCTCAAATGCCATAAATTTATTTAGATTAAAAAGGATGTTGAAGACGTTTCCAGAGAGCTTCGAGCCCTTCAGGTCATTCAGGGTTATATAGCTTTCATCCTGTGAAAAAACAACAAAACTGTAAGAGTCGGTATAGAAGACTGGAAACATAAACTACTTCCTATATATTCCTATAAATATAAAAGAGCTGAAGCATATGATGTCCATAATAACAAGAGAAATATTGTTGAACCTCTGGTCCGATCATATCAATTAGCTGACATAATATATCCTCAAAAAGAACAGCCTCTTGCGCCATACACTCCATACGATGTAACTGCTCCTCATAAAAGAATTGCATTTCATTTCGCGTGAGAATCCCATTTCCATCCAAGTCAATGCACTTAAACCTAGCCCAATATATACTTGTGTCAGATAAAAACACTCAGATTAGTATATCTGTCTGCCACCTTTGAATGATCACAGCTTACCAATATTCAAGACTAGGCTCTGACGATTTATCTTCTTCCGCAAGTATGAAATAGACAAAATCCTCATACCCCATTTTCCCTTCAACTTTGCTAGTGAACTTCCTCGCAACCTGAGTAGAAATTAATGCATATTTCATGATGATAGATTTTTTAAGAGAAGTAATAAATGTACAGCAAGAAGCATCCTAACAGATCAAGATTTTGAGACGAAACCTGGGAGAATATTCTGTCGACAATCCGGTATGTAAGAGCATGGTTGCCATATTTCATAAGGTTTTCTTTGTCGATCAGGAAATCATGATCTGTATCGAGCTCCCAGAACTTGCAGTATATGACATAGAAATGCTCGTATGAGAAGTACCTATATTCCAAAGTAAATATGGAAGTGTTAATGCCAAAAGATGCGATACAACACTATAATTGGCAGCAACTTAAAGCTTGATTCCACATAACAATAGAACAAACGCTTTATCAGTACCGTAACACTTTGTTGATATCTTCTTCTTCATCAGCATGAAGCATAGCATCGATTAAATTTCCACGTTTAAGCTCCCTAAATGTAAGTCGACCATTTCCAGATCTGTTTATGTAGTAAAAAATTCTGTATGTAACAGTTTCAGCTGGCCATCAAAATACAAACTGTATCAGAAAGCAGTACTGTTTGAAAGTTACAAGCTGTCTAACACAACTACGAAATTTTAGCTTAGAAACTACATATGCAAGCTTGTCAGACTCCTACAGAGTATTGCCACATTATCTTAGGCATCTATAAATGATATAAACGGGAATAAACTCGCCAGATCAAAACGACATTATACCGCACACAACAGACTCATTCTTCCTAACTAGCACAGTAGCTATTAGCTAACATTATACAACGAAGGATAAGATATAGTGATATACTACCAAACTCCAGCTCAACTCCCTGAAATCTAAACACCATAACTCAAGGAATAGCCAAGAGGTAAAAGCCAAGATGATATTAAGTAGTTAACTGACTCAAATACAACTGAGTTAAAGACCTAACCATATCTTTCTTGGAATTCAGGTGTGCCTTGCAAAAATTCTAGTCCAGGATGTGTCGCCAAAAGTTCTTTAAGTAGTGGCTTGAAATCATCCTGCCAGAGAAAAAGAGAGCTAAGAACGAAAATCCAAAGAGGAGGTCGAAAAAAGAAAACTAGTTATCATTACGGAATAAACCAATCAAAACAAAATCACCTTCACAAGGAAATTCTGATTTTGCTGCTTTAGGATCTTGAATATTTGGGTAGTTTTATCCATTATCAACATGTTCCCGTTTACCCAATAATCAATAAATGCTTCCCTGCATAAACAAAAAGTAATAAGACATTCCGTATAGATATCCAAAAGTCTGTAAACGATTTTTACAATATTGTCCAAACCATATAGAGCAGCTATAAGCAAGCTAGAAGCACAGACTGCAAACTATGTGCAAATCAGATCCCACAATACAAAGAGCATAGAGGCACATACCTAGTAACAAAACCAGTGTTATTGACATCGATCTTCCTAAAAAGTGACGTGGAGAAGAAAGATGGAAGCTTGCAGATTTCACGGGTGACTAATTTGAATTCTGAGTATTGAAAAGAGAAGAATGTTAATAAGACATTCCGTATAGATATCTGAAATATTATGATTCTGTTACCTTGAATTTGCAGTCCATCCGTGTGACCGTAGAAAAAGTGGTTGACTCTAAACATACACTGCTCTTTGATCTCGCTTGGAGGTGGACGACCATTTTGAAAATAAAACTACACCCAATTCAATACACATCATAAAGAAATGAACCCATTAGAACATAAAAAATTCTTCAGTTATCAAAACTTTGGCAGCGGCAGAATCAAGACCTGAGGTATGGACTCTTTAACAGGCTCGTTAAGCACTTTAAGCGGAGAGCCTAAATTAGAAGGAGCCCTCTGTTTCATGGTACGAGGCGAACCGCAGCTTCTAGGTGAAAGCGGAGGAGCACTCCCCGCGGGAAACATGGACGGTAAAGAATTGCTCGTGCCAGGACCTGAACCAGATGCACTCCCAGGAACATTCAAAGGAGCTCCAGCTATTGCATCTTGAAGCAATGACGCAACCTACACGGAAAAAAAAAAAAAAAAAAAGAGTAAAACTTTAGTGAAAACAAAATCAAAACAGTTTCTTTCATATCAAATCTGCTCTACACAGAAGAAAAGATAGTAACTTTGCAATAACAAAGCTAAAAGCATCAAATCCAAGACGCAATAAGTGAATCTCCTAATACCTGACGATGAGCTTCGGGGAGAGAAAGCCACTGATCGAAGAGGTTCTGGGTGAACTCGGGTCTGGATTTGAGGACGAAGGTAGACATCTCCTGGAGCTGCAACAAATCGGCGTCGAGAGAAGCCATGTCTCCGGGAAGGATCGCTTCCAGCATAGTGAGTTTTCAATCTAAGATCAGATCAATCGAATCGTATCAACAGTGAGGAAGTAAGAGATTTAAAGAGAGAGGAGGAGAGATGGAAAAGGGGGGCAAATCGGAAACCCTAGATCTTAAAGAACGGGGGAAAGAATCTGATTCCAATGAGCTTTCCTTCTCTCCGAGAATAAAAATGAATGGGTCTCGAGATACTATATTAGTGTTATGTTATATTATACGTTTCTGATCCATACTTAAACTATATTTTAGTTGCAATGTATCTTAATAAGTATTAATGATAAATTATAAAATTTAAAATAATTCTACTTTTAAAATTTGATTAACTAAAAGTTATGAAAATATTTAATAACAGAAAAATATACTTATAATAAAATTTGATATATTTTTAGGATCTATAAAAATTCTAAAACAGTTCGTCTATTAGGAATAAAAAATATTAAAGATAATATAAAGTAGAAGAAAAAGGCAATACATGGTTTCTCAATTAAGAATTTCATAGATGTTTTCTGAGATACTCAATTTGGTTATGTGTCATTTTGTATATGGTTTACTTTTTCAATTTTCTAAATTTATATTAAAATAAGTTATTTTGTAGCTGAAAATTTTATTATAAGTACTTGATGTTAAAGACTCTCGGAGCAATTGGAGTAGCAATAACACTTAAGGGTGGATACAAGGCGAATACTTGTTATTTTGAATATACTTACGACTTGACTTGTCTTTTACGAATAATAAAATTTTCAACTTGTAATTGACTTGTTTAAAACGGTACTTGCTATTTCGAGTATTTGATCAAAATTAAATGATTTGCAAATTACTTGTTTTATTCAATTACTTACTATTTAAGAGTACTTATGAACTATTTACGAACTTTTTTGAAATATTTTAAAACTATTAACTAAATAATATTCTGTTAGAAATAGATATGAAATCAATTATTTTTTTATGACTTAGTCCGTTTATATGAACATATAAATACCAGTTATAAAATAACAGTAAAAAGCTAAGATTGTTTTATATCGTTTTTTCACACTCTAAATTATTAGTGAACCATATTAAAGATAAAATACACTTATCAGTCAAATCTAACAGAAAATTCACAAGGAGGAAAATATAAACTATTATCTACATTTATTGTAAATATATTATAACAAGACTTATTATTGAGTTCACCCTATGCAGTGAATCTCTAGGTTCACCAACCAATAAGATAGTGTTATTTCATATTTGATATTTTTAAAGAAGGAAACAAAATCTTGTTAAGTTATATTATGTTCTTAAAATAAAAATAGTATATGTTTTTAAAGAATTTATTTTGTTTTTTGTAAATATTATTATTTTCTTTATTTTTGTATTTTTATTTTTAAGACATAATATAACTTAACAAGATTTTATTTCCTTTTTAAAATAATATCAAATTTGAAATAATATTTTTTTATTGGTTGGTGAACCTAGAGTTTCACCCTAAAAGGCGAATCAAAGAATAACTCTTATAACAATACCGGTAAGTTTGAAGGGATCATAGCAAAGTTAACTACTTGGTTCTTTTCTTTTCCACAATAAACTTGTACAATATGATGTGAAATTAACTACCATAGTTTTGGCCATTTTATCCGTTAATTTTATTTGATTTATTATTTGTTTCGATCGGAAAATTGTGAATATCCACTTTCAAAGCAAATTAAAAATATATCCATTAGCATTTAAGTAAATTTTGAAAAGCAGATATTTGTTTCGGTCTGACAATATATAAATAAATATATATATATATATCTTGATTATATTAATATTATTAAATGTATAAATTTATATAATTATTATTCTAACATATGGTTTTATAAATTATGTTCACATTAGTAATTATCTATCATTAAAAAGAACAGAAAAACATAATGACAATTATAATTTTTTCTTAAGTTTTTTTTGTTATTATTAACTAAATTTAAAATTTAGAAAATGTGTAATTTTACTACTTCTTATCATTTTTATTTTATATAGCATGAAAAAATATTTTTAAAAACAATTTTATATCACATTTTAAGATTACTTGTATTAATCAAAACGGATGAAATATCCATAAATATTCATAAATGTCCGTAAATATCTATTTATTTTTCAGATATTCATTTTTTCTGATATCTGTATTTTTCTGAAATAAAACAAATAAAAAATTAGATATTCATAACATACAAAATAAATCACAAACACCTTTAAAAGTCTGTATATCGGATCTGTGCCCATTTCTACTTTTGACACATGCTAAATGTTTTTGTTACTATTTCATATGTAACATCATGAGCAAACAAAATGGTCCTATGACAATAATGGAAGGCTCCATTTAACAAAATACACTAATCTTTAATCCCTAATATTCTACATCAAAATTAATATATAAATTCACAATTCTTCTCAAATATGATTTTCGATTATACAAAGAAACTTAAGATTATCAAATTAATAATTATCAAATTAAAAAGATTATTGAATCATTCTGTTTATGTTCTGTTTCCTCGAGGGGTATATTAGTCTTTAAAAGAAGAAAAACAAAACACAACACTAAAAAAGAGATTGGAGAAAATAAAAATAAAACGAGCGGTGTTCCTGTGTCCAAGCCTCCTCGTCTTCTTCTGAAGTTTGTATATATATACGATTTCTCTCCCTCCTCCGCTCAAATCCCTCTTCACCTCTTGCATTATCTCTTCCCTTCACCTCTCTTTCCCATTATCTCCACCTTCTCCAAGATCTCTCAGGTAAAAAAGATCTCACCTTTCCTCAAATCTAGGGTTCTTAAGAAAAACAACTCTGGTCCAGATTTAGGCTTCTGTAATAATTTACCGTACTGGGTATTTCGTAATCCAATGCAAACCTTAGATTCGTCGTACCCTTTTGGTTTCAGAGTTTATCAGATTATAAAAATCTGATTTTTAATAAAATTTATCAGATAAAAATCATATCTTTGCATGAGATCTGATTTAGAGATTAATTTGTTTTTTCTGTGTAGAATGTCGGCAGCTACCAATGGAAGTAATGGTGACTACGGTGCCTACACATACAAGGAGCTTGAGAGGGAGCTTTACTGGCCTTCCGAGAAGCTGAGGATCTCCATCACCGGAGCTGGTGGTTTCATTGCTTCCCACATTGCTCGCCGTCTCAAGCACGAGGGGCACTACGTCATTGCTTCTGATTGGAAGAAGAATGAGCACATGACTGAAGACATGTTCTGTGATGAGTTCCACCTTGTTGACCTCAGGGTCATGGAGAATTGCCTCAAGGTTACTGATGGTGTTGATCATGTCTTTAACTTGGCTGCTGATATGGGTGGTATGGGTTTCATCCAGTCCAACCACTCGGTTATCATGTATAACAATACTATGATTAGCTTCAATATGATTGAGGCTGCTAGGATCAATGGGATTAAGAGGTGTGTGAATAGTGTTTCCTTGAGCTGCCTTTTTTCTTATGTAAACAGAGTTGTGAACTTTTTTTGGGATGTGGGTGTTTTCAGGTTCTTCTATGCTTCTAGTGCATGTATCTATCCTGAGTTCAAGCAGCTGGAGACTACTAATGTGAGCCTGAAGGAGTCAGATGCTTGGCCTGCAGAGGTTTGTTTCACTCTAATGATGATTGGTTATAACGAGTCTTTAAAACTTCATGATTTACTTTGATTTATGATGTTGTATTAGCCTCAAGATGCTTATGGTTTGGAGAAACTTGCAACGGAGGAGCTGTGCAAGCATTACAACAAAGATTTTGGCATTGAGTGCCGTATTGGAAGGTTCCATAACATTTACGGTCCTTTTGGAACATGGAAAGGTAAGTAGCAGACAAATAAACATCCAGGCGTAGTTTTTGATTTTACCATTTGTTGTGTTAATATTTTGATGTAACATAATATAGGTGGAAGAGAGAAGGCACCAGCTGCTTTCTGCAGAAAGGCTCTGACCTCTACAGATAGGTTTGAGATGTGGGGAGACGGGCTTCAAACCCGTTCATTTACCTTCATTGATGAGTGTGTTGAAGGTGTACTCAGGTGAAGGCTTTAAGCTCCAAATCAAGAATTATGATATGTTTAAAAACTTGTGTTGTGTTTTTTCTGAAGTTGTTTGTTTCATTTAAGGTTGACAAAATCTGATTTCCGTGAGCCGGTGAACATTGGAAGCGATGAGATGGTGAGCATGAATGAGATGGCTGAGATGGTTCTCAGCTTTGAGGAAAAGAAGCTTCCCATTCACCACATTCCAGGCCCTGAAGGTGTTCGTGGTCGTAACTCAGACAACAATCTGATCAAAGAGAAGCTTGGTTGGGCTCCAACAATGAGACTGAAGGTACCAAAAATCATTATTATTTTCTCCAAAGTTAGAGTGAGAAACTGAATGTTAATGAGTGATGATTGGTGTGTGTGGTTAAAACAGGAGGGGCTTAGAATAACCTACTTCTGGATAAAGGAACAGATTGAGAAAGAGAAGGCTAAAGGAAGTGATGTGACGCTTTACGGGTCATCAAAGGTGGTTGGGACTCAAGCACCGGTTCAGCTTGGCTCACTCCGTGCTGCTGATGGAAAAGAGTAAATGGATGGTTCACTACCATCAAAGCTTGGCCTTATGTGTAATATTTAAGGTCAGGAAAGTATGTTTAGATACATGTCATCTCTTAGGTAAGCTTTCCCTATGAAAAATAATAATAAGTGTTTTTGGATTTGAGTCTTCTTCTCTTCTTCTGCAGAACCTTTCTGCTCATCTTCTCCTTCTGGCTCTTTGTAGTGAACCGCTAATTCTTGTTTTACTATGATTTATTTGGGAAAAGTTATTTATGCTTAAGTCGATTATACTATGTATTATTATTGTGGTCCCATTCACAACATGTTCACCATCATTGTCAACTTTGATGATGGTGTGGTACCAACAGTCAAGTTGCCAAAGTTTTGTGAGTATTTGTTTCATCTTATCATAATTATCTATGCACACATCTCTAGGGATCATTAGAGATCAGTCCCCCATTCTTTCTCTGGATTTCCACTTCTTTTTTGTTCCCATTCCTGAGCCAGAACAATCCTATTTCTCTTGGATCTTGTTCTCTAGCTAAAATTGTTAAATATCCCGCATTAAATAATAAGAAAAGTCACATGGTCTTTGTGACAAAAAAAAAAAAAAAAAAATCACATGGCAGTCTCAATTTCAAAACTAGCTTTGGTCGTGTGCTCTCTCAGGAAGGTGCATATATATACATCAAATGTTACCACAACACCTTCACCGCTTCACTAGATTATTTATATTTAACCAGGGTGTAAGCTTAAATTCTCGGATATACAATAATAATATAACTAAAATATTATATGATTATGAATGATGAATTTTTCCTCCAGAACCATTTTCTCTACAAGACACGTGAGTGTCTTATTGTCAGTCAGAAACTTAAAAAAATAAATTCGATAGAAACATACATTGATAGTTTCTGAGTATGTGTTCTTTGGATATTCTACAAGTGAAAGAGAGTGTGGACTAGCCTTGATCCAGAGAAAATCTTAATGTTCTGGACGATGGTTATGGGTTTCTCATGAAGGACATCTGATATTTCTTGTAGAATTGGCTTAAGGAGTTAAGCAAAAACTGTGCTTGTCCAAGTTCTTCATCACCATTTCCTAATGATGTCATCTAAGATGGAAAATTCTGTTCTAAACAAGCATGACTAGTTGACTAGTGTGTTAACTAAGACACCATTGGGAATGAAAAGATCTAAAAAGGCAACAGAATCAGAAATACATAATGAGGCTGACTATAATCACGTGAGAGGAGTAAACTATAGAATAAAAAAAAATCTAACTAAAAGTTTTTAACTTCTGTACGAGATTGATTTTACAGGACAAAACACAATGGTCATTGCTAAAACTGCCTTGTTTGATTTCAGGGCTCACATAGTAAAAACATGAACTTGCTCAAGCTACTACATAATAATCTATCCACGTTAACAAGATCATAACTTTAAAACGCAAATCAAACACAAACAGCAAGAATCTGAGAGTGGAGGGACACCCCATTTCAACACCCATGTGTGAAAAAAGCTTTTCGTGTCTAGCTCTTTGGAAGCTTTCCTTTGTCTTCTTCATCCAACTTGGTGAAAACATTTTCTGCCGACACAGCAAAATCATCTTCGTCCTCTAAAAATAGCTTCAACGTACTCCCATCTAGAGTTGAGACCACAATGGGAGTATCTGTAATTAAAACTCACTCAACAACATTCAGTATAAATGTATAATAATCTAGAGACCAATTATCTGTTTCAATCAACCAATATACAAAGCTGGTTTGTTTGTTTCAGCAACAACGTAGGCTATAAAGTCCATGATTAACATCAACGTTCTGCCATTTTTTTCTCTCGAGAGGGAGATCACCTGTGACGGTGTAAAAGACCGTTATGAAACTTCCCTTAGTCAACGGGAGTCTTGGAAAAAACATTGACTCTTTCCCTATATAGAGTTAAGCCTACGGTGTTGTAATAACGAGCCTGCAATATATATATAGTAGGCTACTAAAATTCTTATGATCCCCAATATCTTATATGGCAAAGCTCATTTAGAACCTTCTTTTAAAATCGCTGATTATGTATGAAAAAAACAATAGGTAACAGTTACACTCGTGGACTGTGCAATAACAGAGACACTTGACACTTTGTTATGATTATTGATGTTAGGAGTTTTCAAGGCTCCTAGTCAAATGTTGTATAGTGAAGTAAGTTGTCGAACCAGTTCTGAGGGAAGTAAAAGCGATGAGAATGCAAGTACTAACTTAATCTAAGTGCAATCGAATGTTTGGTTGGTTTTAAAGTGAACTAAAACTAAAATGTAAATAAACGATATGACTTTAACTATGAAGGTAAAT